GTTTGGTTGACTAAATTTGGCCCAACTGGATCATATAAGAATATTATGACCAAAAACAGAAGAGATTTTGAGATGAATTGTATATTGCAAATGAAATGGTTTAGTTTAACTTAAAATAAGTTGACAAAGTGATCCAAAAATCAAAAGAAAATTAATTTTTTTTTTAATTTTTAACTGATTCTCACCTATATTTTGGGGTTTATTTGGACTTAGTGCTTGTGGTTGCATCATATATAGTTTGGTCAACTTGACCTTTTATTTTATTTTTTTCTTCTTTCTCCCTTATGTACATTCCTTTTGTTCATGCTCTCATTATTTTTTTAAAGAACACCCTAAGTTTAATAAAAAAAAACCTCTATCCAAAGAGATTATAACATCAAATCTTCGGGTTTATTCAATTTTTAAAAGATAGAGAGATTATGATAAAATGGTGTAAGTTAATAAATATACCTTTTATTTTTTAAAAAATTTTGTATAATTAACTATCATGATATCTTTATTTTAAATTTGTTTAATTTGATGACTCTAGTTTTTCTTATGCAAGATTGGAGTTTAAATATTTTAAATTAAATCCTTATAATTGCCATAACAAAAATTTCATTTAATATTCATTATATGAAAATTAATAATTAGCACAATATTATCCTACTTTTGATTCCAACAAATTAGGGGTAACCTATTATAGAATTGAATTCTCACTATTAATTCAAATAAAATTAATTTCTCTTTTGACAAAATCGAAGAAGACGTCGGTGAATATATTTATATTTTTAAGAAAAAAAGAACAAAATAAAATTTTCTAATTTCGTTTACTTGTATCGTAATATAACATGAAATTTGACTATTAAATCCGATAGGTATCAACAAGGCTTGACTGACTATATAAAAATTATTTAAATAATAAAAATTTTAAATAAATAAATAAACTTTTTTTAAAAAAAATAAATAAATAAAGTCACCCTCAATGAACAATATGCAGCACAACAATTGAAAAGGGCCGGAAAGACAAAACAGTGGAAATTCGTTTTAAAAACACAGGTGATGCAGTGTATGGGATCAGCTTTGGTCAGTTTTAACAAAAGAAAAAGATTAGAGCTAGGGGGGTTAGGGTTAGCCACTTTGGTTAAGTTAAGTTTAGATTAAATTTTTATTTTGTTTTGTTTTATTTATTTTTTTAAGGGGATTTGGATGTGGGCCCCGTTAAGATACGGTCGTGGGGTTAGAGCGAGGCCTGGGGCGGTCAATGCGGAGCCTTGGATTTGGATTGATGCAACACGTTCGTTTAGTCTTTCCATCTTCTCCTATCTTCTCGCTAGCATACACGCGCCTATTTAATACTATTCATAATAATAAAAAGACATCAAATGTTATGTTTTATTTCCATTAACAAATAAAATAAGAATAATTTTTGAATTATTTTCTTAATTTATAAAAATTTACATCTTTCATTGTTATAAAGGTAAATAATTTGGATGAATTATTTTTTCAATAATTTGTCACAAATATTATTTTGAGAAAATCAAACAGTAATATTCTTTCATTTAAATTTATGGGGTAAATGACTAAATATAATTACTTTTGGCAGTGGTGCGTGGACTGAAAACAGCCCGTGACATGTGCGGGGAGGGTGTCGCAGGTACGGGACGCAGTGCCCCGCAATTCGTGCGCTTCACTTTTCTTTATGAGAAACGATGCACCGACTCACTGCCGATGGCACGTGCGCACGTGACCCCTTCTTCATCTCCCACCTCCTCCTCCGCTCTGTCTCTGTCTCAACACACCTTTTGTGTGTGGGTGTGTGTTTTTATTAATCTCTGTTTTAAATTCTAATATATAATTTAATAATTACTTTGCTTTGTTCCCAGTTAATATGAGCACCCCATCCTCTCTTTCCACACTTCTCAAAAGACATTTCTACCCTTCTATTTTTTTCAGATTTCTTATTTATATTTTCCCTTTTTTTCAATAACTATTATTTTTCTCAATTAATTTTCATTTTGACTTTTTTTTTTTTAGATTTTGAGAAAGAAAATTCAAATCATACTTTTTAAATAAAAAAATTATGTACCAACTAATAAGTCAAATGTTCATATATAATTTTTTATTTTGAGTTTATTTGATAATTATATAATATTAGACACATTCCTAAATTTAACCATTCATAAGCTTGCTAGATCCCTAACAATAATAATAATAATAATTCAATTTTATATATATTTTCTAATTTCATGTAAAATTAAATTATATAATTAGTCCATATACTCTGTCAAAGTGATGTATTCAATCTCTATACAATCGTTTGTTAAAAAAATGAGTCTTTATAGTTTTCAATATTGATAACGTTAGTTTGATTATTAATAATGATTATTTTTTTTAATTTATATTGACATGATATTTTCTTATAGTTATACTAATATGATATATTGTTATTGATATAATATTAAATTTGATAACGTGATATTTAAGAATATTGTCATAATTATGCTAACAGGACAAATTCAATTATCAATATTTTACAAAAAAAAAACATTTTTAATTCAAATTTCACACTCAAATTTTTAAAAAGAAAGAAAAATGTATAATAGAAATCTAAAATGCCCTAATAATGGCAAAAAAAAAAAAAGGAAAGGAAGGGGGGGTAATTTAGAGTTTTGAAATGCCTTAGCTAGAAGGTAAGGTAGGAAAGAGGAAAGATGGTGCTCCAAATTGGGAATATCCTTTTCTCTACGGCCGTACAAAAATTAGATGATTACTATAAGTTATGTCATAGTAATCTGGCATAATAACATTATCATATTCACTATTTAATTATTAATCCAAATCTAATCCTTTCCTCCTATCACTTTTGACCAGTAAAGATTCTGTGCCATCCCCATGCTCTCAGGTAAACCTTCTTTCAATTTTTTTTTTCATTATAATTATAATACTAAATAAATAATAATATTAAAAAATTATTAGCAAATCTTTTGGTATTTGTAAGGAAAATAACCCCTTTTTTTATTTTTTTAGGGGAATAATTAAGCTAATTGTTAATACAAAAGAGTGTAGGTTTTGAATTTGATCTTTAATTAATAGTATAATAATAGTATTAAAAAATTTACTAATTGATGTTTAATAAGTTGAAAAATTTACTAAGTAATGTGATGAATTGTTGTGACAAAAAGTATGGTTTGGGATTTTTGAATTTTCGGTATTATAGTGAAAAAGTGTTAGGAAGAGTTAAAATGCAACATACTATTAAAAAGTAAAACATGAGCCATTTTCTTCTATTTTTAAGGAATTATTGTTAATATGATCCAAAAAATTTAAATTATTGTAAAATTTAATTTTAAAAATGTATGCAAAAATTAATTTTTAGATTTTTTTAAAAAATTAAACTATATTGTAAATAGTTATATACTCACTATACTTTTCTTTTTTTGAAATGCACTAATTATTATTTTTAATTCAAAAGATTTAAACAATTAAAAAGATAACTTTGCAAATAAAAAATAAAAATAATTATTTTGATCATTTGATATAAAAAAAATTGCATTTGGTAACTACAAAATCACTTTTTAACATTACAAATGGAACAAATAAATGAGCCCTTAATTAAGTTTCAATATGTTAAGACTTTTTTATTATTATGCATGAATCCTACAACAAAAAATGTTTGACTTCTTTGAACTTGAAAGAGTGAGTTTCTTGCATCTCGATACAAGAAGAGAAATTTTATATTTCAATAATACATCCCTTCACCTCGATCAATCTCTAAACATACTATACGATTTGTCAACATTATACCGAAAAATCTTGATAGTAATGATAAAATAACTTGATCCATTAGTGAATTTTTAAAAGCAAGTAAATTGGATATGGTAGAGCTAAAATTTTATTGTTTTTTCCACTTTTGGTAATTCTTTCCTTTTTTTTTTTTCTGCTAAATGATCTTTGTGTGTGTAGGTGAAAAATAAAAGGGTTGAGAGAAATTTGGCTTTGATTGTATAATAATAGCCAATGAAGTGGAAAGAACAGTAAGGTCTTAGGTAAAATTTCTTAAATCTCTTAATTAAATCAGTAATATGTTTAAATAATTTAAATTTAAAAAACGAATTAAAGCAACAAAGAACTGAATTTCAATGAACCGTTACGTAAATCTTGAAATTGCGGCAAGCTTGGGTTGATGACAGTTACCAAATGGTAATCATAATCCAAATCAGCTTTACAAAAGGTGAAAGATTCAGGGTAAAGCATGTTATTTCATTAAAAAAAAAGTAAGTTTTTGAGGTAAAATAAATTATATATTGAATAATTAAAATCCTAAGTTTCTGGCCAAAATCTAAACCATGAATTCCAATCATAATCTTGCTTTAGTGAAAGAGTGATAATTTCTTTTCTCTTTTATTTTGAGCTTATATTATCATCACAAATTCTCAAAATCAAATCATGATGCCATTTTACCTTTCACCTTTATCCCATCATTGCATTCACTTTTGTTACCCTAATTATACAATGATACACAAATTATCTCAAATCAAATCAAATCTTTCTTAGTGTTCAAAATAAATTACAAAAATTCCTTAGAAAAAAATCAATTAAATTTACTTAATTTTTTTTTGTTACATCTTAATGTGTCTTTTTTCGATCTTATTAATAAAAACACAATAACAAGTTTTCTTTTGAATTTTTTTTTAAATTCCAAACTCGAATCAAAACAAAACAAAAGTAGTTGAGAAAGAGTTTAGATACTTGACTCATCCCTTAACCCAAAAACAAAAAGGTTGATAAAAAAAGAAAAAAAAAAGAAAAAACAAACTAACTAGTTCTACAAAGTACTAAGTCAAGAACCAACCACAGTGTAAAAAGTTACCTAACCCTCCCTCTTACAGAACTTCCCCCAAGCCAACTGAAATTCCAACCAGACACAGAGGGCAACAAAGTGATTTTGTTGCCCTTTCTCTCACTTGTCATCAAAAACCACAACCACCCTTTTCTTTTATATTTTATATATGACTTTAGTTGGCTCCTCCCACAGTCATCAACTTAAGACTTGAAAGAGAGGGAGGAAGGGAGGGAGGAAGGAAGGAAGGAAGGAAGGAAGAAAGAAAAGAACAAAGGTAAAAAGCTGTCCCCACTCTTACTTTCACGCTTCAACTCCTTCTTAGACAACAACAGCAACCAAAACAAAAACATCCCATTATTTGGTGTTTTTTTTAACTCTCTTCTGTCTTTCAAAGAGAGAAGCTGGTTTGGTTGGGGACAAACAAAAGGAATAGTAGTAGTAGCAAAGATAAAGAGGGGGGAGGGAGAGAGAGAGGAAGCAAAGAGTCTGGCTTTGTGGTTGACAAGAAGAGAAAGAAGTGATTGCCAAGACAAAGAGATAAAAGATAAACAAATAAAAAAACAAAATGAAAAGGAAGGTACACACAAAATAAATAGGCTATACTACAAGCCAGAGTACAAGTAAACCAAAGAGGAGTGGCAAGGCAGCTGTGTTTCAAAGGAAGTTGCTTTGGAGCAAAAAGGAAAAAAAAAAGAAGAAGCATACATATCATATTATTTCTTACATACAAATATAAACACATATATTAGATATATATAAAGAGAGAGAGAGAGGGAAGAGAGAGATAGAGAAAGAGATGGTGGGCTCAGGAGCAGCAGATAGGAGCAAAGAAGCTGTTGGGATGATGGCGCTTCATGAGGCACTTAGAAGCGTCTGTCTCAACTCAGACTGGACTTACTCTGTCTTCTGGACCATCCGTCCTCGCCCGTATGTTCTGTTTTTGTTCCTGGAAATCTTCAACTTTTTTTTTTTCTCTTTCTTTGTATTTATATGGTTATCAGTTGCTATCCTTTTTCTCTTTTAAGGTTTTTTGTTTTTTTAGCTGTTTTCTTTAATTGGGTTTCTTCTTTTGATGTAGGAGAGTGAGAGGTGGTAATGGTTGCAAGGTTGGAGATGACAATGGCAGCTTGTAAGTATGCTTTGGGTTTTTATGTTTGTTTGGTTCCTGGGATGACAGAGGAAAATGAGTGAGAAATCAGGGTTTTAAGTGTTATAAAATTTAGACTAATTAAGTGAAAGAGTATGTAGTTTGACTTTTTTGATTTCATTTTGCTTGACACTTCTTTGCATTATGTCTGTAAAAAAGCTTGGCATTACTTTTTTCCTGTGCAGAAACAGGGGAGAAAAACGGGGGAAATTTGGTTAATGAGAGTTGGGGGTGTTGGAGTGAAATTTGAGTTAGTAATTGGTTTTTGTGAGATGGGTTTTTATTAATTTGTGATTTAGAGGTATTTTCATTCTTAAATTAAGTGAATTTTTATGTTTAAGTTTTGCTCTAAATTTTGATCCTTTTTCTTTTTTGTTCATCTTTTGTGGTGAAATTTCATGTGAAGGATGCTGATGTGGGAAGATGGATTCTGCCGAGGGAGAGTTGCAGATTGTTTGGAAGAGATTGATGGAGAAGATGCAGTGAGGAAAGCATTCAGCAAAATGTCCATTCAGTTATATAATTATGGAGAAGGGTGGGTACTGGGTAGGTGCTATTATTATTATTATTATTGGTTTCAACTCTGTCCCTTCCTGACCCCCCCTTTTCCCTCTGAGTGAAACTATAGATAGAGAGTGGAATTAAGTGGTTTTTTTGTTTCTTTCTTAGTGTATATTTTTTGTTGGTTTAATTTCTATTTCATGGTCAGGTTAATGGGAAAGGTTGCATCAGATAAGTGCCATAAATGGGTGTTCAAAGAACCAACAGAATGTGAACCCAATATCTCCAATTATTGGCAGAGTTCTTTTGATGCTGTATGTCGCATAGCCCACCTTCATCTTCCTTTATTTTTTTTTTTAATTTTCAATTGTTTAACCTAAATAGAACTTTGGGTTCAATGATCAAGCGTCTGTTTATGGAAAAGTTGATGTGTGGCATTACACTGTGCTTTATTATTTGGTCAGATGGTGTAACCTTTCCCCTTTTGTTGTTATTTAATTGCAGCTTCCTCCTGAATGGACTGATCAATTTGAGTCAGGCATTCAGGTCAGCAGAGAAACAACTCATTTCACTGTTGTTAGTCTTAATCTGGTTTGTTTTTTTTCGCCCTCTTTGTCAAGTCATCAAGACTTGGGTGATTCTTGTTTTCTTTTTGACCAGACTATTGCTGTGATCCAAGCTGGCCATGGTCTTCTGCAGTTAGGCTCCTGCAAGATTGTGAGTCTGATATATTAGAGTTTGTAATTACTAATTTGGTTAACTTTGAAGTAGTTCTTGGAAATTTAATTTTTGTCGGTACCAGTTTTCGTGGTTGAATTTGAGTACAAAGCCAAGTCTTCCATTTGTGAAATAACTGAACTGTTTGATATCTTGATCTCATTGAGATACTGTGTGTATCCTCAGATACCTGAAGACCTTCATTTTGTGCTAAGAATGAGGCATACCTTTGAATCTCTTGGCTATCAATCTGGTTTCTATCTCTCTCAGTTGTTTTCTTCGAACAGAAATAGTACCTCCTCAGCTACAATTCCTTCAAAGCAGTCTGCCATTCCAACGCGGCCCCCACCTCCACTCTTCAACTGGAGCCAGAGGCCGCTTCCCCCAGCGACACCAATGCTTGCTTCACCGAATTTTCAGAACCCAACTAGACTTGGATTTCCACAAGCCAAAGATGAGACACACATGTTCATCCTGCCCCATTCATCTGAAACCCGAATGGAAGATATGATGGCAGAACATGAAAATGACATCAAATGGCCTAATGGCTTGACTTTCTTCGGCGCTCTCACTGGACGAACCGAAGATGCCAAGCTCTTATTTAACCCTGAGAGCTTAGGCAACAAACCGGACCAAAACCAGCATCCGCTGATTCTTGAAGGAAAAGATTCTAATCAAAATTCAGATGCCGGTGCAAACCCCAATGAGTACTTGAGCTTGGATAGTCATCCAGAGAATATGAGGAGGATGGAAAACAAGTTTAAGAGGAGCTTTACATTACCTGCAAGAATGGCTTCATCTTCATCTTCAACTTCAGTAGATCATCATCAGCACCAACCCGTGGAGTATAGGAACTCTGAGGCAGGGATGTATACCGATGTTATGGAAACCTTCTTGGAATGAAATTTACAAGGGTTTGTACTAGAGGGACAAAAGGTTGAGAATTTGTATTTAGGCACAAAGGGTTGTGTTCCTTAGTTGCTGAAATTCCTGTGCTTGTTTTGATGTCCTTTCTACATCCTTCTCTTTAATCCATTCAACTGAACTTTCCAATCATTTATTGTAAGTTTATCCTAACGTGAGTTTTCCTCCCTTTAGGTTTACTTGTATTAGTATTTGGTAGGGGAGCAATGAAGGTGGAAGGAACTTTTAAGTAATGGTTGGGTTAAGTAGGCACCTCTTCTAATTGCAAGTTGAATCTCTGTCTAACATGGCTATGGATCCAAGGCAAGTCAACAAGACTCAATTGAAACAGGTAAAAAAGGTCAGGGGCAATGCAGATTTTCAATATACATTGTCCAGACGATTAAGTTTTACTTGTTGATTAGGACCCTCCATTCACCTTCTGTATTTAAATAACAAGCTATGATAGAGATTGTTTATCCTTTTTCTACATATTTCATATCACCATGCAAATGCATGCTTCATTTCTTAAAGGATAGAAAACAAAAGGGAAAAAGAAATATAACCTAAAATTGTTATATGCTAGTTCAATGATTCAGTCCAGCTAACTTAAGAAACATTCTGCTCAGATCCACCTTCAATGTTTATTCGTTTACAAGCAACAGAATCTAAACCTGTATTCTCATATACTTTAACTTTCTACTTGATTTAGTGAATCTTGATTCATTAGAAGATTTAAAACAGGACACTGGGACACTCTCCACTTCTTTTTAGAAAAAGTAGAACAAGCTGTTGCAGGCTTGCTATTATATAACAAATCCTGGATATCCCTTGGATTTTGCAAATTGCAATGAATTTCCCAGAACAAACTTATGATACCAATAAATCATTAAGAAACCAGCACTGTGCTCTTCGTTTAGCCTGACTGATATTTTCGAAGTAACTCTTTTTCCAGTTGACGTGAATATTGCACCCAAAATACAAAGTTCTTATCACTTTCTTGCGTTGATGAAACAGACACAAATCTTGCATTGTCATTCCCCCCCCCCCTGCAAAAAAGAAATTTCACAATTAAAATTGGAATGGAAAAAACTGTATTATAATCATCATACAAAACCAACACACAGTTCAAAACTTGGTTTACCACTTTAGACGCATAACTTCTGAAGCAATGGCAGGCTCTCAAAACCCTTGAATTGGCCTCTAACACACTTTCCGAAATATCCTCCATCCCCTCACTAGTTTTTCCTGCCACATGATCAAATGAATATATTTTGGTCACTCAAAATTCTCCAAATTCCAACAAAACATTAATTGCTATTAGAACTAATGTAAAAACACAAAACTGATGAACAAAAGAAAGTAAGAAACTCATTCAAGGATGTGCTTTTTAATATATATATATATAATCTGCCACATAAACAATAGGAGCACAAGCTTCAAATATCTATCTTCTATTCTTAAAATTGAACTTTCAAAGCCACCGTGAGCAAATGGCAGAACAAAACCCACGAGAAAAAGGTACACATTATATGTAGCCATTACAGGTAAAGAATCAAGGAGACAACGAAAAAGAGAGATCAAAAGCCAGCACAACAAACCAAATTGACCATCGCAGGGGCTGATGAATGAAAGGTGATGCTTTTGGTTGCACGCACCCAGTGACCACATGCATAGAATGATCCAAATGGTAGGTATGAAAAGCAAAGCAAAAGAACCAGACAGTGCAACCCAGATGGTGCTGCAAATGGTGTCGCTTTTGAAGGCACTGAAGCAATGACAAATTATGCAGAACTGCAAAAAAGAAAATGGTAAAACCCATGTTTTGCCTCGTAGAAGGTGATTCTGAAGTATTCTTCGATTCCATAATTATGAAATGCTACACTAATCATCAGGCAGTGGACAGTGCTGCTAAATCTGCTAATTTCTTTTGGCCAAGGTTTGTTACAAGTTCCAAGGAGATGAAGTGCTTTGGTAAATCTTCAAATTCTTCCTCTTTCAAATTGTATTTTGGTTGAAGCTTTTTTGCTTCGGCATCAGCAGCATTAGCCTCTGCAAGTAGAAGGTTGGCTTCTTCAAGGTCGCCCAACTCTAGAGCAGCCAATCTTTCCGCTTTAGCAGCACCAGCAATTAGAAGTAACCTCTGAAACCTAGCCATTGCCACTTCTTTTTCTTTGGACAAAATCAGTCCTTCAATCTCCTGCAATCTATCCACAGTATGCTTTATCTCTTCCTCCAGTTTCCCAAGATCCAACACAGCTTTGTCCATTTCAATTTGTACACTTTCCTTTTCAATGGTCAATGATTTTGCTTCAGCTGCCATTCGTGCAGCTTCCTTGAAATTTCTTGAAGCAGCGGCAACCTTCTTTTCTGCTTCCAGCTCTGGAACCATTTTGTCTATGAAAAAGATCCTCTGCTTTAAAGATGCTATATTTTGCTGAATGCTTGACTTTGTTGAAGATAATTCCTGAAATCAGTAGCGAGAAACTTTAATCATCTACTGCAATCATAGAAGGGGAAGAAACAATGTGGTTTATTTGATGTTCACCTTTTGACAAGTTGATGTATAAAAAGGAAAAACAGATATCCAAAGCTTCTTGTGTACTAATAAATAAACAATTCAAGTGAAACAAACTGCAAAGAGCAATATCATGGAATTTAACATTCCACTGATTTTCATGATACTGAAATTGTTTGGTAGGAAGAATTGATTATCTATAGCTTCGGTAATGACATTAAGGATGAGTTATTGGACTCTCTATGATAGCATCCCAGACAGAAATTTATTGCAGGTTGGAAAGCATTCAACCAGGGCAAGACCAGGAACTCAATTTAAATTCTGCAAGTTTGATTCCCAAAATAGGACTAGTAGATGGTGTAATTCAGCAGTTAGCATACAACCAAACTTCTGTTAAACTTAAACAGGAACAAATTACATGTTGGGGGGTCAAAAAAAAGAGTAATGAAACATAATCAATTAAAAGAAAATCCCTCTCTTATATATTTGAGAAGAAAAATGAACCTGTAGGGAGGCCCTTGCAGTAGAAGCGTCCTGTTGAAGCATTTGGACATCCTCAGAAAGCTTCTCCTCCATCTTAGCAAGTGTCACTTTATCTTCCATGGACTTCAAAACTGAGGATAGCAAACTTTTTCTTAGTCCTACAACTTCCAGATACATTTTTGCCTCACCTACAGAAATTCTGGCAAGTTCCTTGAGCTTAATCCGCCTATCTTCTTCTTCAGAAAGGAGCTTGTCAATTTCTTCCTTTTCCTTTGCTAGAGTTTCACTCTCTATGTCCATCTGAGAAAGATGAGATTGTAAGTTGTCGTACTTAGAATTCATACTTGATTGCATCTCTTGAAAGCCAGATACCACATCAGCAATCCTTTGATCTACTTCTTTAATTTTAGAGCTATTTTCAGCAATTTCTTTTTCCTTGTCTTTCACTAAGGCAAGTAGTGTTTGCAGTTCGTCAGTCAAGATATCTTTTTGATTACAGAGAAATTCTTTCTCTCTCTTATCATCTTCAATCAAGCTGTCAAGGGAAGTATTGAATACTGCACGAGCTTCATCTACTAAGTGTGCCTCAATTTGTAATTCTATCTTGTTCAACTCCAAGGCTTCAGTTGAAGAAAGCCATTTCTCCCTTTCTTCTGAAGATTGTGCTTCTGATTTCTTGACGACCAAATCAGCATTACTCATAGCATCCTAGTGGAAAAGGAATATAAAAGTCAGAATCAAACAGCACAACCATGTCCTAATGGAAGAAAGGAATTGAAACAGAACCCAGTTGTTACTCAAAAGCCAGTAGTTACTTGTCAAAAATCTACTTTAAATTAACAAACAGGAGCAGTCTACATCTGGTTTTTAAAATTAAACTAGTAAGTGGTAGGTATCTAAAAAGAGTATAGTGATGGTTGGACGACTGACCTCAGAGAAATGATGGAGCAAAGAGGCACACTCCTCCTCGACAGCAATCTGGCAGTTGAGAACCTCGAGCATTTTGGAATCAATAGCATTGCATTGGACCTCAGCATCTCGGAGAGCACTAAGGAGAGCTTGTTTATCCTTGTCAGCAGCAGCAAGGCTCTCATTGATCCTGTCAGCGGCCTCAAAATCCTCGGCTTCACAAGCATCCTCCAACTGCTTTTCAAGGTCCCCAAATCTAATAGTTGCTAAGTTAAGATCATCAGCAGCCTTTCTTCTTCTCCTGATAGAGTCCTTGCGAGCTTCAGATACAGAGGCTGCCAATTTGTGAGCACCGCTGAGCTTATTGGCAACCTGGGCCTTGATTTGCTCAAATTGGGCTTCAGCATCATTAATAGATTTTCGTTGTTGTTGTTGTTGCTGCTGCTGCTGAGCCTGGCCTTGGAGGGATTGTGAATCTGAGCCTGAGACCAAAGATATGGTAGTGCTTGTGGTGGTACTGGTATGAGGTGAAGGAATTGGTTGGGCAGCAGAATGGCTCTCATCATGATCATCAATATTATTATTAACCTGATCATCTCTACCATATCCAATCCTAAATCCAGTAGCTCTCTTTTTCTTTCTATAAGTAGAAGAGGTCTGCCTAGAGAAGGCAGTAGCGCAAGGAGGCCCCGCTTCTGGTTCTGGTTCTGGTTCTGGTTCAGGTTCAGGTTCAGGATCTAGCTGATCAAGCGGCACTTGAAGAACAAGGTCAGAGAACAGATTCTCATCAAGTGGCTCCAGAACCTGATGCTGCTGCGTTGAATTCTGTGATTCGTGCTCGAGGTGATCAAGATCTTGCTTTTGCTCTTGCTCTTTGTCTTCTGCCAACTGGGATGGTGTAAACAACACCATCCCTTCAAACAAAGAATCCATTTCATCAACGTCCATCTCCATTACTCTCTCTTCTTTGATTCCTCCTCCACCCGCTATCTCCATCTCAGCTTTCTTTTCCTAAACGTTTTCCCACCAACCAAACATAAACGAACTCGGAAAATCAAACATAAAAAAAAAAAGCACTAATTCAACACCCAGAATGATCCAAGAAAAGATTGAACAAGCTCATGCTGGAAAGATTGACAAAAGAAACTTGGCCTTATTCAAACCTAACTCAATTCTAATACTCGATTAATCAGACCGGATTCATTTTTGAGCTTATATATATACAAAACCAATAATCGTAGATTCTCCTTCTTACCTGTTTTGAATGGAGTGGTACTACTTATGGCTTTGCTGCTCCAAGTTTTCCCAAGCCTTTGTTAATTGTGAACTCCATTTTCCCAGTTTCACTAATGCGGGGAGGGGAAAATTCCATGGCCTTCTGCCTGTTGCCATTCACTTTTTTTGGCTTGGGCTGTGGCAGTCAGACACCAGGGGTTTTTTTCCCTCTTACCCAGACATGCTTGGTCTCACTTTCTTTCATTCTGGGCCTGTTTTCTTAGAGCCCAATTTCTTATTTACACTAAAAGAATATTTATATTATATGAGCTTAATTGAATATATATTGTTGGGTTGACAAACATTTCAGATTCAAATCCCAAAAATAAACTATTTAATCATTTTAACTGGAGGTTTTTTTTTTTTTTGGCTTGACTTGGTAAACCTTGATTAGTGAAAGGGTTTAAGGTGATCTCTTGCATTCCAATTTCTAATAATTAAGCTTGTAATTAGTGTCAGATTATGCTGGAAGAGATTGGCATATAGTGCTATGACTATGCTTTTTACAAAAGACACAGGAGACTCTGACGCTCCCCACTCTTCTTTTTAACAAAAGTTATCAGCTGTTGCAGCCTTGCAGCATATCACAAATCCTGGAAGATCCTAGGACAACATATTAATCATACCAAAAATCATGGAGAAACCAGCAGTAGTACTGCAGCTGTTTTCTTCCTTTTGCTGATCAATACCTCCAAAACTATTTTGTTTTTTCCGGTTGACAGGAAATATATATTGAACCGAAATTCCACACAAATAATGTTCATAGCACAAAATCAACACAAACCCAAAGCAAGAAAAAGTTTCGTATATTAAAGACATGGGTTTATAATTTATCCAGCACTCAAGGTCCCTTGCACCACATCTTGTTTCCTGGAAGGTTCCATGGCATGACATTCTCTGCAGGCCAACAGAAACAACCTGAAAAGTCTCAGACAGGGCCCTGACTTTCCCCTAGTACTACTCCTTTCTTCAAGATGATCACCTTGTTTCTTAGCTCTCAATGCTTCTTTCACGACAACCCCACTTATTTTTCTCCTGGAAACCTCACGTTTCAGAACAGGCACTTGTGTAATATACTGCCATCTTTGAGAATCCCCATATAGCTGAGCGGTTACCATTATGCTTGTTTTACGTGTATGGATTTTGCTATGGTACAACAGTCTCCTCTCTGAATTGTCACTCGAGCTTGTTCGTGCGCTGCTGCAACTGCTTCTGCTGTTAGTGCTGTTACTCCTTGAAGACATTGATGAATCCTTGCTGTTGATGCTGCTTGTTCTACTAGTCCCACGAGAACCGTCAGCTGCTACCATTGTTGCAGGTTGTAAAGGGAAGGCATGTGGCAAGAGCCGGCCATTGAAGAAAAGATGATCAGCTGGTGAGGTTCTGCAAGGATCTAGAGAGGGTGAATCCGGGGTAAAACAGCCGAACTTGAAATCGGAATCTTGGTCTTGCAGATTTGGGGTGCTGGGAAAGGAGAATATCTCACCAGAGCTGGACCTTTTCCTGCGGGTTTCCATGGAAGAATTTAATTCCTATACTATTTTTCTTTTGTGTGGGAGTTTGGGGTGCATGAGTAAGCTTGTGTACTTGTATTTATATTAAGGAGTAAGTCGATTGTAGTATGATAGGAACAAGGTGAGAGAATCATGTGTTATGTCTAGATGGGACAGCTAGAGTGATCTGGGCCCTTTTGTTGGGTGTGATTCTGATGAGTTCTTGGTGGTGTAAATCATGGAGCCATTCTTGCCAACTCAACCATAATCTAGCACATGGAGCTTAGTGTTGTAATAATATTGTTAGCTTGTGTGGGATATTCCTAAATGTGTGTGTCTTATGATTCGAGTAGGGTTTATTCAACTTTGACCAAAGCTCAAGATTTTGTCAATGATCTGAATCACTTTGATCTAATCTGCTATATACAATTTTATCTTAAAAAATACAGTACAAGAAGGATTGAACTCCATATCTCGAATTTAAAATATATATTGTTCTATTCTATCTTTGTCATTAGTGTTAGAGTTAACGATATTTCTAATAACAATATAAAATAAATTATTATGAAAGTTAAATTCTTTAATTCAATATCTAACTAGACAACGTGAAAATACGATGAATAAATTTAATTAAACATAACTAATTGGTCAAACTTAATGGTATAAAATTGCCAAAATAGGCTCCAAGTTTGATTAATAAATCATGCCAAATTAAAAATACAGCTACATAGCTTTTACATATGATGTCTAGTTTGATCAAATCATTGGCATTCTCTTTAGCCTTTAGACACTTGCTTTTGTTTTCATGAGTTGACACAGCCTCCCAAAAATACTCTTCCATATAAAGCAGAAAAGAGCTTTTGGACCATAGAGAGGAGAGACATTGACCACCTAATTGCCACAAGCTGATACAATTATTTTAAGTTAATAATAATAATAACTAACTTATTAGATTGTTTAGGCTCCCTCAAAGACCATGGCTATGATGGGATCAACAAAGCAAAGCTTTTTCTTTGTTTGGCACTACACAAAATGGAAAACCCAAAGTTACACTATATATTTACAATTTGATCAGACCACTTTGGATCAGTCCTAGAAACTGAGGACAAAGAGCTCCTTTGGAAATTTCCTTTGTCTCCCATTTGGGTTTCTTTGGAGGAACTTTTGGGCCCCATTTGAGTCATCATGCCTTTGGGACCACCAGCAGTCAGCCACATTCTGGTCTACTTGTTTTGCCCCACAAGCAAGCAAAGCCATTTCTTAAATCCTTCCTTTGTTGATGCTCTAATGGCTGTTAGATGGTAGGTCCTTCTGTTTTTAGAAGGAGAGGCTCTAGCTGACTCTTGAGCCAAACCTTTTGACCAGCACCTTGCTTCTTTCTTAAATTCATGGGCTTTTTTTTTTCTTTCTAATTAGATCGAAAAGAAAGCCCAATTAAGGGATATCCAATGTAATGAGTCCAATGAAAAAACTTTGGACCCAAAGGCTTGAATAAAAACCATGGGTTAAGAGAAAACTATTAACCTACTAGCATCAAAGATTTGATACATGTAATTTTTATTTAAAAAAAATTAAATTGGACTTTTTTTATTAAATTAAAAACCATATATTAAATTTAATAAGATATAATAAATTTTTATGGATTTTTAGAATACAATAAATAAGATATTTATTTAAATAGTATTTGTAATAAATACACTTAAAATTTGTACTGGTTATAAATAATTGTGACAACCCACGCCAAGGTGCTCTGCAAATTCATGCACCAATTCATTACTCATTAATGCAAACTAATAAAGGACAAGAAAAGAAAAGAAAAAATCTTTGGTGTGTGTGTGGAGGGAGGGAGAGAGAAATTGAGTTCATCATTGACTCTAAAAGTCTTGAGACAAGCAAGCTGGACCAAAAAAAAAAAGAAAAGGAAAAGTAAAGACTTGAACAAGGAGCCAATCTAAATACAGTTAAGAGCTTTGAAACTAGGGGTACCCAATGGATTGAGTCTGTCCGTCATAATCAAGGATCGAATAAATTAAATTTTTTGAAAAAATCAAATCCATCAAAAAATACAAATTAATTTGACCGATTTGATTAAAAATACAAATTAATGATGGTTTCATGATAAACAAATACAAAATTAAAAATATGAAAGAGAAGAGATGGATTTTATGAGTAAATTATAAAAAATTTTAAAAAATATTGTTTACGATCTCGAATTATTATTTTATATTATTTTAATTAATATTAAATTTAATAAATAATTATTTTATCATATTCACGTTTTAAATTTTATAATAATTCTCACATGCTCGAATTTACGAGATTATTATTAATATATCTATTTTTAAAATAATTTATTATTTAAATTTAAATTTTAATGTTTGTTTATTTATATAAATTTAATTATTAATAAATTATGTGAATATGAACTGTGAAATATAATTATGAAACGATTAATAATTTTTTTTTTGCACAATCAAAGGTTCGAATAATTAATAGATAAGATATTAGAATTTGAATAAAAAATTTAAAAATAGTCAAATAATTATAAAATTAGAATACTTTACACTCTGAGTTAAAGTATTTTAAAATTAGTGATATCTTTATAATTTTAAATAAAATTATTATTTATCACGGATGTGAATAAAGTTAGGGTAATAAAAATTTTAATATAAACCTCATTAATCACACGAGAGTTTTCTTCTTTGTCCCTGTCAAAATGAAAAGCCAAAAGTAAAAGAAAAAACAAAGGCAAGACAGCATGTGAGCGTGAAGAACGCGTCATGGTGTTAAAGCAAAGACCGCGGCGTGTCAACAATTTGATATACTTCCTCAAACACTTGTCTGCCTCTCCTTCCTACAGACTCTATCTGCCTTGGCTTCCGCCTCTGTTTCCGTCTTTCTCTTTCAGTTTGTTGCGTGTCTTGGCCACTGTGTCATCACCACTTTCTTAAAAAAAAAAAAAAGCAAAAGGAAGACTTTTTCACTTACTTTCTATATATAGAAGCTCTTTGTTTCGCAAGGAAAGCTATGATGGGAAAAGAAATCCTCCATAAGATGAAGGTATGCTCCTTTTTCTTTCCTTTTCTGTTTTGCATCTTTTGTTTTTTCTTTCTTATGTGAATACCCTTTTAGTTGAAATGAATATTGATGGTTTCCTTGGGTTAGGTAGATTTTGCATGATCTGTTGTATATTATATTTCTTATATAATATGAAGAGATCGAAGGAGATAGGGAGTCGGACGTTGGGACCTTTAAGGAAATAAGAAAGAGTAATGAGCTGATAATCATCAAGGGAAGTTTGGGTTTTTGGATTTGTTGTGTTCTGGAAAATGAATGGCAAGGACATGTCTTGTAGGGACTACAGGAAGGAATATATGTAAAATGGGGTTCTGCCTTGTCTGGTAATGGAATGTAAATGTACTTGAATGCCATGAGTAATAGAGGATCTTGTGTGGTCTCAGATTGTTTTCACATGGGTTATTTATCTAATGTCTGGCACTCTGTTTTTTTTTTTTTTTGAAAGAAACCATTAGCAAGATGATGAGGCGATTGATTTTTTGCTGATATTGGGTTAAATGGAAAATTATTTTGCCATGAAAAGGTTATAGGAAATGGTTTCTAAGAAATGGTTTAGGGTAATTTAATGGGGTAATTTTTGGAAGAATTGGGTTTATAAGATCATTGATTTCAGGTAATGATTGCTCATGACTAAACCATGTTCCTGAGTTTTTGCCTTATTTATGTGCCAATTTTGCACAACTGCTTGGCTAGTTGGATAAGGAGGCTAAATTTACCTGAATAATTATAAAATAAAGTTCCCTTAAAAAAAGAAGAAGAAATTTTATCAAGTTTTATTTAGAAATTAGGACCGGGTTGACATATTAATATTGTTGCAAAGAGTGCAGATCCCTTTTGCACAAGGTATAATTAATTAACTGCATTCTAAACTATGGAAGTAAGACATTTTGAAAAGTTTTAACCCCTTTTATATCACAATGCTTTGCTGTTGATGCCATGGTTATCTTCATTAGTGAGGATCCCTACAAAATTTCCGTATATATGTTGAATTGTTTAAGTGGTATCATTATCATCTGTACTTTATCTTTCCTGTTTGCTCAGCTGCTTATATTGATTTTCTTTAGGAAAAAGTACAAGAAAAAGTTGGCTTAAGCCCTTCCACAGCTGAATCTGGAAAAGGGAAAAGTAAGATGTCAAAGCACATAACACACGGTTATCATTTAGTGAAGGGGAAGGCGCATCATCCGATGGAAGACTATGTTGTTGCAGAGTTTAAGCAAGTTGGTGACAGCGAGCTTGGTTTATTTGCTATATTTGATGGTCATCTGAGCCATATTATTCCTGATTATTTGAAGTCAAATTTGTTTGATAATATCTTGAACGAGGTAATGTGCAATGGCTGCATCTTATCCTATGTTCTCCCTGAGCATCTACATGTTCTGCTCTCTAGTTTTAACTTTGCATCAATATGCTCTCAAACTTACAACAGGTCACAGTTCATTTTTGTTTCATTGTCATCATATTTTTTCTATTGAGAATGTTCCTTACTTTCGTTTTCTGGAATGAACTATAGTTTTATCCTTCTTTATTCTTTTCCTACAAGCAGCCTGACTTTTGGACAGAACCAGAGAATGCAATTAGGAAAGCATATCGTATAACAGATACAACTATATTGGAGAAAGCAGTTGATTTGGGCCAAGGGGGTTCAACAGCAGTCACAGCAATATTGATCAACTGCAAGAAACTAGTAATAGCAAATGTTGGTGATTCTCGGGCTGTTATCTGTAAGAATGGTGAGGCTAGACAGCTGTCAATTGATCATGAGCCCACCACAGAAAAGGAGAGCATTGAAAATAGAGGTGGTTTTGTGTCAAACTTTCCAGGTAATGGGTGCCGATCTTTTTCAGGCTTCATTTGGAGACCTCATGATGACTTGATCACGGTTGTTGTAGAACTTGAAATGAACGTTTTTTCTGGCCATTATACTCAAAGTTACACCCTCCTCATCTGCCCTGATCTTGAACAATGTAAGTTCTGTTGTTATTTCAGGGGATGTTCCACGTGTTGACGGGCAGTTGGCAGTGTCGAGGGCATTTGGTGACAAGAGTTTAAAGGAACATCTCAGTTCAGAGCCAGATGTGACCGTAGAGATGATAGGTGATGATACGGAGTTGATAATATTAGCAAGCGATGGTTTATGGAAGGTTGGCCCTATCTAATTGTGTCATAATCTCATGGCAATATTCCTCTTCCACTTTATGCATTTTTTTAATATGTTGAAACTTCACATTGCACCCAAGATTGAATAGTCTTTTTCTTCAACTGATTCCAGGTAATGACGAACCAAGAAGCTGTCGATGCTATTAGGAACATTAAGGATGCCAGGTCTGCAGCTAAGCAGCTAACTGAGGAGGCTGTAAAGAGGAACAGCACAGATGACATTTCCTGCGTGGTCGTAAGATTTTAGTGATCTTAAGTGTGGCAACTGTCTTTCTTTTGTTTCATAAGAATCTCTTCACAAATGATGTGCAAGTACCTTTGTTACGTTAAAAGAATGTTATGCTTATTGTGTCATATCAGAAGCTTTTTATACATAAGCAAACTGTAATGAAGCTGTCTAATAAACAAAATAGATCCAAATGTAAACAGATTGTTCTGCTTTATATACCTAACTAGTTGCTTCTGGCATTGCACCGATATGCGTTATGTTTGTAGTGGGAATTTCATACTTCTTTAGCAGTTCAGCTGAACTTCTGAAACATTTTTCCTCAGAAGTAATATAAAAAAAAATAGGAATCTCCAGATGAAGTAGCTGTTTAACATTCTTTCCCGTAAATCTTACTTTAGTAGTTTCCAACCAAATTAATCACATGACTACATATTGCAATTTAACGAGCCAAGTCGGATCAGAAAATATCGAATTTGATTTCAGAGTCAATTTTGAGTTGGCCAAGTTTTAGTTGAAATAGTTTGTTAAGCTTTTGTCACGTTTACTGCCAAAAAGTACTAACTAAATTTGAGGGTTTTTTTTTTAATTGGGAAAAGGAGAATTAGAACTCTGTTCTTTAGATAAACGATTATATATTAATTAATAAGATAAATACTCGGTGTAAACCAACTTTAAGGTTAGATATGATTACTTTGCAACACGAGACATTTAGTTCAATAAAGATGATCCTTCCCTCTTGGTCCGGCTATGGCCAATATCTTGTAGATAACACTTACCCATCAAATATATCATACCCATTACTTGAAAACAAATGCAAAGGTTAGCAATGAACCAGTTCATAGGGAATATGGATATAACCATTGATACAATAGAAGACTCCATAGATGAAGGGTTATCAGTACAGAAAGCCTAGATTACGCAGCAGGCAAGACACGAGAACACAGGCTTCAGAAGCACTGATACCTGACTTAAATTTCTATGCCTGATATAGTTATTGAATCCTCCAACATAGTATAGTAAGTACTAGTGCATAGTGAAATGCATAAGCCATTGGCTGACAGAAGAGAGGGAGCATGCTGCTGATGTTTTGGTCATTAAGCTCCTTATCTGTTTTGGGAACGCTTAAAAGATGAATTGCCTGGGATTGCTATTGGAACTCTGGCTCTTTGATCATCGGCCTGCCTGCATTGACTCTCTCTCAACTGAGAACTCATCCCTTTGCGGCTCGAGCCTTCTGTAGATGATTCGGCTGAGCTCTTCCTACGCCTTTCGTTGTGTCCAGCCAAACGCCTACGACAGCTCCTTTTTGCTTCATCAAACTCCGATAGCTCATGGAACCTGTGAAGTATCCCATGAAATATTGACCAAAGTATAATGGTTAAGATAGCATCGCCCTGTTTTATGTTTAGTCTACTACTGTAGGCTGAAAATACAGGTACATTTAAATCAAGCGATTACCTTCATCAGAATTGAAATGTCCCAGGGACATTTACTAAGGTAAAATATGAAAATGTAAGTCGTCATAGTGTTTCAGATTTGGTTAACATCTTAGGTTAGAAATAGAGTGCTCTTCTTGGAAAGAAAGGAAACAAAGAGGAAAAATTCTAGCTGTCAAAACTGTGAAAGCATTTCTCGTGCCATAATTGGAATACAAATTAAGAAGAGGGTATTCCACAAGGTAGTAACTAAAAGGGAAATATAGCCAAATGAATTATTTGTTTTCACTGTGGTCTACTTTGTTGCTGAATACATGTAGGTAAAGAAAAAGATCCTGAAATAAAAATCTTGGGAATGTCCTTTCCTTTTAGCAGAGAAGTCTCACTCAATTCAACTTCATTATTAACAGAAAAATAGAGAAACCCTCTAATTCACTGAATGTAGTAACTTCTTTATTGATCTTTGCACCTGATTTCTTGATGCAGGCAGTAGATATGTTCTGCAAAGATCTTCAATTAATGTGTTTCAATTATCCCATTAAGCTCAGATCGTTTAAAATATGGAATAAGTAGGTGTTAATACTGTAATGAAGAACCATTGAACTTAAAGTTTAAACTGATTGACTTGTAGGTTAAGTAATTAAATTTTAAGTGTTAAGAGTAGCTTGAATTAAGATTAAAATGAATTCTTCTATAAGTAACTGAAGGAATGATCAAAATATGAGCAAAACCAAAACCTGCTGCATTGTTGACAGAAGCGCTGCCTGAGGCCAGCAACAACCACAACCGGCGCCTTGGCATGAATCTCACACACCTTATGGCGCCTGTGGTATCGCTTGGCATCCGATAAATCAAGCCCACATTTTTCCACTTGACAAGAAGGCGGTGACACCCCAGCACCACCACTAGACCCTCTCTTTCCATATGCTTTCTTCTTCTTTTCATCATCTGGAAAACCATGATCACCAACACCCTCTTCTTCTTCTTCCTCCATGTCATCGTCCAGATCTTCGGCTGTGAAACCCTTATTCATCTTTGCTTTCAAAGCACTCTTTCTTCTGAAGCCTGTAGTTTCCATTGCAGGAGAAGGAGATATATATAATGAAGAAGTGATAAAATGTTGGGAGCAAAGTTTGTGGGACTTTGAAGAAATGAAGGAGAAGAGAGTGAAAGAAAAAAAAAAGGTGGAAAAAAAAAGAGTTGAGGACCACAAGCAACATTTTCTTGTTGTATGTTTGCTTGTGTGTCAGTGTAGTGTTGTATGGTGAATGATTGGAAGTTCAAAAAGAAGCAGCTGTGGATTTGGTTTGTTCTTATATGCAATTACTGGAAGTTTTCAGGCCTAAATTTTGATCATTAGTGAATCCCACAACCTCAATTATTGCTTCTCCCAAGTTACTTTGAGTTCACGAGGTGATGTTTTAAACTCTAGAACTAGGTTTTAAGAGATTAGGTTGCTACTTGCTGCTTAATGGGGATTGTATCAATTGTCCCTCCTACTTGTATTTGGATGATGATGGCACATGTTTCACACAGCATCATCACCTGAGGAAAGCAACAAATCCTTACAGATGGACGCATTATCTGTTAGACTTCAACAAAGCTTTCATTGGTCCGTACGCTGTAATTGTTTCAGATCACTAAACCTATATGGCTATATGGTCTGATTTCTCTTTGTTCAGTTCTCCTAAAGTTAAAATTCTTTTCAAAACCAGAACTCATGCTTTTTGCCTCATAGCAATGGGAATATAATAGTCCTGAGCTCAAACATATATAATTAGTGTGATTTACTTAATACAGTGGGAGCGCATTAACGCAAATGGAAAGGGTTATCTCTTACTGTATAATTCGAAACAATCAGAACTTCAAAAAAAGATAGGGTACTTAAAACTAACTGCAAATTTGATTTGTAAACGAGACAAGGCATTGTTTAGTTTTTACCAGTTCTATATAGTAAGAAAAAAAAAAAGAAAAGAAAAGAAAGGAGAGTAAGTTGAGAACAAGTTCTACAGCTTTGTAAAATTTAACACCTGTGTTGCTGAGAGACCCTTGAGAGAGACATATCAAAGGTCATTGAATGAATCCTATAATGGACTGTACAGCACCAATGGTTCACAAAAAAATTCTGCCTGTTTGAGTTGGACAAGCTTTTAGTGTAGCACAGTACCCTATGCTTTCTCCATTCAAATGGGCTAATAGCTCACCAGTCTTTAGTCCATGCTTTATTCCCTATTCTACTTTATCTACTTCTGTCTTTACCAGATGTGAAAGCAATATTTCCTTCGATTACCATGTGTATATCATTGAGTTTCATTACATGGATGAATGTAAACTCACTTTTAACAGTATGTTTTGCCAGGACAAAACTGGGGGAAGCTTGAAAAAAATGAAACTAGTGACATTGACACAACACAAGGTTTCACATGGCCATTGTACTAGGTACTCAACAAAAATGTTCAGCCAAAAATTAACAGTGCAGAACTAAACAGCTTGAGTCTTTACGTCTATATGTGCATGCGCGCGTGTGTTAAAAAAAAAAAAAGAAAAAAGAAAAAACCAACCAAAGGAGTCAAACGTTTTGAACTAAAATTATATCACAAAATGATATTTTTCACTCTCATCTGTCACTCTCCCATTTCACTCTCATATCTCGTTTACTACCATCAATGTCTTGTCTAGATTAAACAATGAACATCCGAAAAAATGCTGAATTAAGATAGGGGATCAGTGATTAGTGAAAACATAGTACAATATGCTAGGTGAAAACAGTCAGCAACTTCTGCTGGGGGTAATGAAACAGATCATATGATACCTTAGGTATTTTGCAAGATATATCATATAGTTTTCTACATCTTTATTACCTTAAAAATTCTGGGTTTAACCTCAACTGACTAGTTAGGTTAAACTAAAGTAGTACAAGGTTTTATTCTGACTTAGGTAACAAGTTAGGTGGAGAAAAGCTTATCTTATATCGATGATGATGATGATAAGAATCATATAAGAGGCATGAAAGATCCAAATGGGTGCCAACTATATTCACATTCCGCCCATAGTACCACCGTGGTCCTATCTATGGCTACCTTTCACCTCCCCACTCTTCCGCGTCGCTCTTTTTCCAGTAAACGCAAATGCCTTAATACTACAATCATTCCACACATACCATCAAATGCCCCCATCACTCTTTCTGAACCAAACAAAAATAAAAATGCCCCATCACTCTCAATCGATCCCGAGTTGGGTTTTGGTCCATTTCCGCTCTCTTCTTTTAGATTCTCTTGTTTTGTTTCTTTTTACTTATGGCCTTAACTATGTATTACACTTGAACATGGCAGATTTTAGCTTAACTTTGCATCAAATTTTAGCTTTTCCCATTGTCTTTACAACCCAATATCACATCCCTCCTTATCCTTCCTCCTCATATAGGATATAAAGATGCAAGCATTGATTTAAGGCAAAGTTTGGAACTTACGATATATATGGGAGAACTATTCTATAAAGAAAGATATACAGCTGTTTTGATGAGACATATATTATCTATAGGTCTTTTTCAACAATATGCTTTCCAAATAATGATAATATATTTGATATTTCATGGTATTTTTTATATATATAAAATGTACATAAAAAAAAAAACATAGAGATTGAAATACAGTATATAATTTGACTTTACAGATATATTTAGATAATGTTATGCAAAAGGAGCACTTTTCTTTTCTTTTTTTTTTATGGGGGTGTCCAAAAGAATACTCACATTTCACTTACAATGATTGATTGGTGATGGCCTCTACTCTTCCTTTGAAAGGATCCCTCTCGAAATGGCCTTAAAATCTATACATTGGCTCTTTCCTCCTTTGCTTTCTTATCTTTTCTTTCCACACTGGAAAATTACATAGACAGCGTATCAGATTCCAGGAGTCTTGCCATGCAAATCGACAAACATTGGAGAACTTCGCATCGCCATATGGATTGGGCCTCACAGTACTCTTAGTGCACCACCAATATTGCCTTTCCCAGAAAGAATTGTCTTCGTTTTTGTTTCGAAAGGGAGAGCTAATAATTTTGGACGTTAGGTTCTAGTTCTTTGCTCCACCTTTATTTGTGAATAAATTTAGTCAATGACCAATTCCCACATCTATCCTATCCTATGTACATATTTATCAATTGTTGCAAATTAATTACGCTGGAATTGGAATTAACAGATGATTGTGTTGGTTAATCAAGGTCAATACAAGTGATTTTGACTCCAAGCAAGCTCCTGTAATGAGCCTAACCTGACCCATGGACACTTATTGCCAATGGGGCATGCAACATCTTGCTCTAGGATTGTCTATTTGTTTATTTATTTTGGGGAATCCCCATCCTGTTTTTCTTGGAACTTACTTAATTTAAGTTTATATTCATACATACAATCCTGTTAAAAAAGAGTTCCTTTTATAAATAGATCCAATGTATAAGGCGTTTCTAAAAATAAACTTTTTCATAATTTTAAATGTTTTTAGTCAAGATAATTAAAATTTAAACGAAATCGCCCTTAATGAAACCGATCTATTTATTTGGTTCAGCTCCTTATTCCTGAAATTTATTAACGGGTCAAGTATGTTTAGATCCGTACCTCAAACAGATTCCTATTCTTTGAGTTGTCCTCGATAGATCGTTCATCTCTAAAATATTCCTTACCAGAAAAAAAAACATTTAAGTATTTTGAGTATTTTGGAGTAGTTTTTGATGCACAAAAAAAATCTTTGTGCGTTTTGAGCATTTTTAAACATTTTGAAATGATTTTTGATATATGAAGAAAAATCTTTAAGTATTCTTTATCAAATAGACATATTCGTTAATTATGCTGTTAAATGAAATATGGTGTATCGTTTGAAGTTATTGATCTTATTAAATGAAATTCAGTAGTTTTTGTGATTTTTAGGCATTACGTAATCAATTTTTGAACATTGTGTGCCTAGTTTTTAATATTACGTTATTAATTTTTAAGCATTGTTTGATTGATTTTAGGCATTGTGTGACTAGTTTTTAAGCATTACGTAATTAATTTTTAGGTATTGCATAACTGGTTGATATGACGATTAGTTGATAGGCATTGCGTGACTTGTTAGTAAGGCATTGTATGACTAGTTAGCAAGATATTGCATGACTAGTTAGTAAGGCATTGTGTAACTTAGAAATTACTTAAAAATTAATTATGCAAAATCAAAAAATCAATCACGTAATACTTAAAAATCAATCACGTAATAATTAAGTCACATAATGCCTAAAAACCTATCTCATAATATTCAAAAACCAATCTAATCAATTTCAACTCTTCAATTTTGAGATTCTATGAATAAATTAATAAATTCAAGAACCTAAAGCACATTTGTTTTTTTTGCTAAGCCATGAAATTGTGCATTTCATAAAAGAAATGTTACAAAACTCCATAACCCTCTAAAGCAAGATAAAATATATATCTACCAGAGGTCCATGCTCACTCCCTTTATGCAAAAACAAAATATATCCCCTTTACAAAATAGTCCATGAACAATTCTAACTCAAAATCTCATAAAAAAAATAAAATCCCTAGGAAACATGTTTAACAATCATCCCAATCTTAAACACAACAAAATCATGAATCATCATAAAACCCATAAAACATGCTTTAGTTGTTCCTTTTCCCTGAGCTCATCATCTTAACCAATCCGATCCAACTCATCAACACAGACATCTCTATCGCAACACACGTTTTGAAGTAAGTCATCACCAGAAAGCATCCAGTTACCACATTTATCATGCTAACTGTAATTATCATAGAAGAGCAAAATTGCTATTTATCGTTATTGAGAACCCTAAGATCCACCCTCCAAAAAAATAAAACAAAATAAAAAAGAACTTGATATCATCTCTACTCTTTAAAATGACGAAAAAGAGCTGAATAACGAGATAAATAGTATTTGATAAAAAAAATCGAAATTTAATTTTAAAATTTTGTGTAAATGACAAGATAGAGAAAATTAAAATCATTTTAATTTATCTGAAATTATTTAAAAGATATTATTATCAAATCATGTCAAAAATTGACTAAAAATAATTAAAATTATAATCATATTTTTTAATTGAACTTATGAGAAAGAGTTATCTTTCACCGTTAAAAAATCTAGTTTGGTAAGATGGCAGTGAGATTTGAAAATAGTATTGGTTCCCTCAGAAGAGAAGGTTGATGGAATGTGTTGATAATGGAGAACTAATCTCACTGTGTAACCAAACTATTTGATAAACATGTTATTGTGCATGACAAAATATTGAAAGCAAAAAGTGACTCCAAGAACAATTTAAGCTTCTCAATGTGCCTTATCATACCCTCCAGCTTTGGCCCTCAATTCCTCAATACACCTATATATTCTTGTGTGTCAACAATCTGACCAGCTTTCCTAATCTCGTCAACTGCAACATCCTCTTCAATCTCATCATCGTTTTCAGTCCCCCTTTCTTTTATGCCTTGTGCGGTATCTTTAGCTGCTTCCCAAGCTCCATCCAGGGTCTTCTTAGCCGTATCTCCCACATTTTTTGCCATCTCCACCGCCCTTTTCATTCCATCTTCGACACTATCCACCGCGAAGCTTGTCGTGCTGCCCTGCGGCCTGCCTTCTCCGATGGCAAACGTTTGATGTTTTGCTTCGTACATGCCGTCTCTTATGTAATCTCTTGGTGCATCGGTTATATCTGATGACCCTTCTTCTTCTTCTTCTACTGCATTGCTTCCCTGCATATTAATTTTATCAATTAACAATCAATCTTAAGACACTTGTAAAGGTATTAATTACGAAGATATCTTAACATTAAATGCAGGAGTGAATAACTAAAGAAAATGTAAAAAGAAAATGAACAAGTTCTTACTTCCGCAAGCTCATAAGCAGTGAATAAGCAAGCCCTGGTAACTCTTCTGGTAGATTGGATTCCAGGAGGGCTTTGAGGCAAGAACATTGGGATGTTGAAGAGAGTTCTCTTAGCCAAAAATGTTGCTTCCATTTTTTACTTCGTACAATTTTTGGTTTCTTTTGCTGAAACCGTTATTATCCTCTTCGCACCTCTTCACCAGGGTTCCTAATTATACTCGAGCTTTGATGGTGGGAGCGTCAGAAAAACAAAGGAAACTTGTCATGCTATAGAAGTGACATGTGGAAGGAGTAAGACACGTTTTGGTCCTTTGGGGACACGCCGAGGATGAGTCATTTTGGTTGGGTTGTTCATGGAGTTTTGGTCATGGTTCCAAAAAGCGTTGGTGCTGTTGCATGGTGAATGGTGATGATGATTCAAAAGGGTCTAACCTGCACCTGTTCCATCAGGATTCAGGACACTTGCTACGGGCTTTAATTCTGGATCCATAATTGAGGTTTAGGTTTTGATAGTTTTGACCATGGGTCGATTCATAGTCTTGGGTTTTGGTATGCTTGGGTTGGTCTAATTCAGACCCAGGCCTTGAAGAAACTGTTCATCTGCACCCACTACAGAAAGGCTTGTGAAATCTCATGACTAGGAGGGGAAAAAGAGAGAGAGAAAGCTAATCTCCTTGAAGCAAAAAATCTTGGCAACAAAAGGGAAACCCAACCAAGAAAAGAGATGAAAAATGTGAAAGAAACAAAGTATTTTCTCCTTTTCACCGGCATAATCATGCTTTCCCTGTTGGCATGAGAAACTAGTGAATAGTGATCACACAAACATTTAAAAATCAACAGAAAAATTAAAGGAAACTTTCCTCAGTGAAAAAGCCTCTCATCTTTCATAAATTAAGGTATTATAGTGATTCTCTTTACACATCCTACATAGAATTGGGAGGTATGGATGAGCATGAAAAAGTAAATTATATGATTAATTTGTATTTGCTTCTTTACCATATATAATTGTCATATCTAAGTATATTTAATTTTTTCTTCAACATACGTGAAAGATAAAAATTAAATTTTTTTTATTAATTTAGATATTTTTTGACATGTAATACGAATTTTTAATTACGTAACTCAAATCGAAAGAAAAATTTTTAACAAAAACACCATTCTTGGTAGTTGCATGGAACATGTACCTAATTTGTAGACTAAAAGCAGGGGCATGGAAAAATTTTCAAACTATAGGTTCACCTATTTTCCATTTAGGTAAGGACTTTGATATACATGAGTTGAGAAGAGGACATGATAGGTGCAAATGGACCCATCACAATACCATGTAGAGATTCAATTTCCTATTCTGACATGGCAAGTGACCTTAGTTTCTTCCTCTAGATAGGATCATAAGGAACATTGACAAATGTGAGAGAGGCCTCTCCACTGTTTTTCTTTTTTTTTTTTGAAAACTCGTGAACATGAAACACAGAAGGGACAAAATTGCCAATGCCAAAATTCAACCCAAAATTCTTCCCGCCATAAATTCCTCAAAGTCACCATGGAGACTTGAAATGGTTACACCTAAAAGCTATTGATTGATTGATTTAGGACCAAACAATGTTGAAGAAACTTGTTAGATAACAACAAAAGGTGCAAAAACTACAGGGCATCTAGGCTATGTTGTTACATTTTAGGGAAAGGATAACACTGAATGAAGGCTGATATCATCAGGTCATTCTTCAGATCAGAGTCAGTACCTGCAGTCCAAGCTTACCAAGCTCAATAAGCAAAGATATTAATTCATGGTTTTTAGGATGAACTTAAAAAGGTACAGTTGGAATTGAGTCAAGGCATTCAGTTGAGAAGTGGAAGGTCAACATGTTGGCTATTACCCTTTGTTATTATCCCCTTTCATTTTCATTTCTGATGGACTACTATGACAAGAAGCATGGACACTTCCATCTTCTACAGTCAATCTTGCAAGTTTTTCTTTCTTTTCTTTCTCTCATACTCAAATCTTGGACTGTGAAAAAGAACTGTGAACCCAAACACTTAAAACCTCCCAACAACTCTTTGACTCAATTCCCCACCATGAATCATGATAATCATGTCTGTACTGTATCTTGCCTGTTTTCAACTCAAGACAAATTGTTGCATAGCTGTTTTTAAGGGTATCTTGATATATCAACATCACCTAAAAAGACGTGTTTGAAAAATGTTCTCACCGTCTTCTCTTGAGCTGAAAATTTCAATAACAAAATATGGTTAATTCTATATATAATATCAAGCCTTCCAAACTTTGCAGGGATAGGAGAACTTTTTGTTTTGGCATTAGTTTCTCCCAGCATCTTACTAAACTTAACAAAAGAATCTCACTCTTTTCCAAAAGCCTCTTTTAGAGTTTCTCATACAATGTTTTTGCAATCAGAAAAAAAGCAGAAGTAAATCCAAGGGAATTGTCCACGTCTTATACTATAAAACAGCATTTCATTTCAGTTTATTTTGCTTTTTGGATGTTGATGATTAGCTTTTGTTGGCCAACACAAGTAAAGTCAAAAGCAGAATCCACTTGTCTCAAGCCTCATTTATTTGACAGATAACAACTCCTCGTAGCCCCTAAACCTATGCCCCCAAAAGGTGGAAAGAATGGAAAAAAGAAAAGTGCTTTGTTTTTTTTTACATGTTTTTCAAGTTCCTGTTCAAACTAATGGAGGGAAAAGAACATGGTTGGAACCTTGGATGCTCGCTTACTTTCTCAAGCTTCTTTGTGCAAACTGCAAGCAAAACAAAACCCAATGCTTTCTTTTTATTCCCCATGGCTCCAAAGATTGTATGTAGCAGATAGTAGATAGCAGATATGATGATATAGTTTCCTGGATTCTGCAAAGTGAGAAGGTTGTGACAACCATCCATCCATCCATTTCAATGGAGTCCTTCAACTTTTGTTGAAACACCACAATTTCCTGTAAAGTTGTAGAACCACCTCTAACCAAAATTTTGAACCATTACAACATCTGCCAACTTCAGGACAGTTAAGTGGAAAGAAGTCATTGCAGATGCTGAAGATAACTGGCGTACATAGGTCATTGAAAAATATTCCAGATACTGATATCTCACCATTCCATGAGTTCAGTGCAAAGGAATTATGAGAATCAAGTGCAAAGCTATGTGGCTTTGGAAAAGGGACCCCGGTGCATGATAATAGCCATGAGAGCCTTTTTCTCAACCAGGAAACCAATATAATAGTATCAGTTTGGTGCATTGACTATGAATCAAGTAATCAGTGAAGTCATGTAATGATCATAATTAGCATTTTTTGTCATAAAAGCATCATGTCATGCGCGCACTCCTGACCAGCTCAAGAAGCAAATGAATTCACAATGAACAATGGTGTGGATAATTATGATCAGTGCAACAAAACTAAGTTGTTTCTTCATGCAAAGACTTGGAAGGCATCATTTCATCCATTCAAATGAAATCATGATAGAGAAAGAATCAATGCTCATACTAAGAGAACCAAAAAAGCAGTCCATTTGGACCATTATGTTTGTGTATAAAGATTAAGATTGCATTTCACCTGACACCCAGTTCCTGATTCAGAGAGGAAAAATTAGAGGAAATAATTAGATATTCTATAATTACTTATTTCAGGTAGAACAAATGGCCAAAATAGCCTATGTATACAACTCTCAACCGTTAGTATACAATGCCAAATGATCGTTTCTGTAACAAATCTAAGTCATTTGGTCAGGACTCCTTCCAATCTTATAGAAACTTGACAATGTTTGCTTTACAGGTATACCCTCCCGACTAAGATTTCAAAGAGTAAACAAACCAATGAAGGTTCATTGTTGAACAACCTCATTTTCAATACTATTCAGCCATGAAACAACTTCATCAATTAAGGGTCTCCGCCTTGGATCCTGGTCTAAGCATTTACAGGCAATTTCAAGCATTTCCAACAGCTGCTTTTCACGATCCTTGTCCCATATTGATGGATCTATAATTTCTGCCTCCCTTTTTCCAGATTTCATCTGAAACACCCAAGACACCAAATCCCTGCAATTTTTTCCTTTGCATACTTCCACAGGTCTTCTACCAGTAAGAAGCTCCAGAAGAACAACACCAAAACTGTAAACATCACCTCTGCAGGTTGCAGTTAGCGTCTGACTATACTCTGGAGGAATATAACCCAGTGTTCCAACTAAATCTGTTGTGACATGGGTATCATATGGGCGGAGTAGCCTTGAAAGACCAAAATCTGCTAAATGAGCTTCAAATTTTTCATCCAAAAGTATGTTGCTAGATTTTACATCTCGATGAACTATGTTTGGTTCACAAACCTTATGCAAGTAAGCTAACCCACGAGCTGCTCCTTGAGCTATCTTGAGTCTTACATCCCATTTGAGAATTGAAGACCCATCAACACTTTCATGCAGCCAATAATCCAAGCTTCCGTTCTCCATATAGGAATAAATTAATAATCTATCATTGCCATGCTTACAATAACCTTGAAGAGAAACAAGGTTCTTGTGCTGAGCTCTTGAAAGAGCTTCAACTTCAGCTCGGAATTCACGTTCCATCTGACCACAATCACCAGAAAGCCTCTTGACTGCAGCTTTTGTACCATCTGGAAGGTACGCTTTATAAACCAGTCCAAACCCACCACAACCAATTATGTTTGCTTGGTTAAAATTGTTTGTCGATTTTAACAAGTCTGTAACTGTGAGCTCCTTGCAGTTTGAACTCTGGAAAAGAACCAATTTTGATGAGCCAAGGGCTTCAGATAACCTGTGTGACCTGCTGAGTTCCTCATCCAAATCATCAATCGGATCGCCAACATCCCTCCTTGACATTCTAAGTAGAACAATGGCAAGAAGCAACAAAATCCCAACTCCTATGCTGACTGTTATTCCAAGGATGCTGCTTCGACCAAATTTGTTGTTTGAGCCAGATGGAATAGCTGGCCTGAGCATACTACTGTCCACAACATGACAAGGAGAGACTATTTTCCCACAAAGTCCAGGGTTCCCTTCAAAGCTTGAGCTGGAAAAGCTATAAAACTGCCCACCAGTTGGAATCACACCCTGCAAGTGATTATATGCCACGCTAAATTTTGACAGAAATGTGAGCTTGGCAAATGATTGGGGT